AGCACTTCAGTGGTCAAGGGCATTCAGCCTCGGATCTTCGGGTAAGTGTCCTCCAAGGCGGACTTCGGGATACACAACGACATAGTCAACAAGCAGAGGCTGATAGCCAAGTTCCGTACCCATGAGGATGGACTCAACCGTGATCTTGGGTTCATGTCTCACTACAGGTGACCCCACTACACTATACACTCACTCGCTGTCAAACTCTCTCGCGCGCGCGCACTCGCTATCAAACTCTCTCTCGCGCGCGCGTGCACTCGCTGTCAAACTCTCTCTCTCGCGCGCTCGCTGTCAAACTCTGTCTCTCTCTCTCATTACCTGAAATTGCATCCACAATTACAAGTGACAGCTGTAATCAATGGTATTTGATCTTTTCTGTTAAGCAATAAGAGCTGCACTTTGCATTCCCAGCCAGGTAGTATTCTGCTAGCTTTTTCCCACTCTGCCTGAAATTCCCATTGGCCCGTTTCAGATTACTCCTCTCGGCATGTGTGGTTAAAGTCATAGACAGTGCTCCTCTCTAAGCCATTGAAATTTATATTCGATTGTTCCTGTGTTCACTGTTGAAATTAACATTAGGTAGGTTTGAAAGTGAAGACTGGCACTCACAAGCAAGAGGTTTGTTACATTGTACTGGTGCTGAAACATGAATGTTGTCAAACATCTCATTGAAGTTAGTGCGGGCTTAACTCGGAATTGACATTGAAGTAATGTGAAGTGAGCACCAACGTTAATCTTACGCTATATATGTGGCCCCGAAATGAATTCATCAGGCACTTTTGAAAGAATAATATATTTATATCTAAAAATTTGTTGCTTTGTATCTACTTGTTCTATAAGAAGAGCGATATTCGAATTTTACACTTAGCCTTCTGAAATCCATCCAGTGTGTTCATTGGATCTAGGCGATGAGTGTTGTGTAATTGCTCCTTTGACTAGTTTATCCATTCACCATTCAACATGCTGAAAATTGAGTTCTTAACACAATGTAATTCGGGAAAAATTCACAGGACATGAAAAGAGTGACCAAACATTGTTTGCGAAATGTGAATGTTTTAAAATAACAAATGCTTTGCTCCTGCAGTTTCTTCTAAAAAAAACTGAATAGAGTTGCTTGTTCAAAGAGAGCTCAATTAATTTATTTTGTAATCTGATACAAGTCTTTGAGTGTGTGTGTATTGTCTAACGAAAAACTATAAGATTCTGCGGGCAATGTTTCAGCTCAAAATAGAGCCCTGTGCCTTCAGTGTTTAGATACCCAGCCGGAATGGACGATTTGGACTGAAGGATCTTTTTCTGTATGACTCTATGATGGTAGACAGATAAGAATTTGTTAAGATTTATATTATAATATATTTACAAGTTAGGCTGGCCATTTGCACCTCAGTTCATCTACCATTTGTTCTTAAAATCCAGTAATTTTGCATCTTCCTATTCCACGTCTTGACAGTTGGCTTTATGAATGACTTTCCAATATCAGTTTTAAATACTCTGATAACTAATTTGATTCTGTAACTTCATGCCCCACCCTTGCAAAATTAGCTTTCAGCCATTAACCTGAAAAGAAAAATGCTGCTCTTGCTATCGGACTTGCATATAAAGGTTGACAATTTGTAAGATGCTGCAAGACAGGTGCCTGTTGAAGCAGGATGTAATTCTTCATGTGGGGGAGGATGAACATTGGAAAAACTATGGGAGAATTTCTTCATTCTAAAATCTCCAGATTTTCAGGTTGGACAAGGTGATTGCTGTGTATTTCTTCTGCCTCTCCTTTGATTGGCTGTGTGGTTTAATTCAGAAGAGATTATTGAAGATGATCTGTTTACCCCATCTGTTTCCTATTAGCTAACCAAACTTATACTCATGCCAATTTATTACCCACTAAACCTGGAGCCCTCATTTTGTGTAATAACTTTTGATGTGGCACCCTGGCAAATGCCTTTTGAAAATCCAAGTACACCACATCCACAGATTCCCTCAATCTGTGTTGCTTGTTACTCCCTCAAAAGACTCTAACAAATCAAATCCAATTTCCTTTTCACAGTACCATGTTGATTCTGCCTAATTAACATTTTCTAAGTGCTGTACTGTAACCTACTTAATATATGTCATATGAAAAATGTTGAAATCTATTATTAAGCTAACCAGCTGTAGTTTGCTGCTTTCTGTCTGCTTTCTTTCTTGAATAGAACAGTTGTATCTAAAATCTAGAGAAATATTTATACTGTAGGTTCTCAGCATCTGTATTCTGCAATCAGTACGTTCCCAAAGTAGGACCAAGCTAATTGTGTCATCTGCAACAGTAGAGTAGATCAGCTAAGGAGAATATATAGAACAAAAATTGCTGGAAAATTTCAGCAGGTGTGGCAGCATCTGTGAAGAGAAATCAGAGTTAACGTTTTGAGCCCAGTGACCCTTCTTTAGAACCTGAAGAAGGGTATGAGGAAGGGTCACGGGACCTGAAAAGTTAACTCTGATTTCTTTCCTTAGATGCTGCCAGACCTGCTGAGATTTTCCAGCAGTTTCTGTTTTTTTTTCAGATTCTCGGAAAGGTTAGAGAGATTTGAAGACCAGGGCTTTAAATAAAATTTTCATGAAGTAGTGATGGTTTCAGGTCTCTCGGTTGTTATAGAAGCAATGTGAAGACATCTTTGCACTTGTTGCTTCTGAAGTCTGAAGTTCCTGTGTTAATTGCTTACTTTTTCATGAGGCCATGATTTTCAGGGGAAGAATACTAATTTTGTCATACGGTTATGGGGAACCAGAACACATTTGTTTCCCATAACTCAAAATAGAGAATTGGTAATTGCCTGAGGATTATCACATAATAATTGTATCTCTCAATGCATACAGCTTCCACAGAATTCTATTTTTACCGTTTGTATCTACTGTAAGCCAAATGACACCACACTTCGAAAGGTTTATTCTAGTTGGTTTCAGTGGTAGCTTTGCAGTTTCAACAAGAGCTTTTGATTTGATTGGAGATTCAAAACTAATTTAGTTGAGAGCCTAATAGAATTGTGAATTTAAATTTTTGTGCATTGTCAGTGAAGATCATCGTGTCTCCAACAACATCATCTTGGCAATGATAGGTGAGCCCTTGAGTGACCTTAGCTACTTTGAGGTGGGTAAAGGCTGGCTTGTCAAGTTTGCTTTCTTCTTGGAAGTGTTCCCTGAATAATTGCTGCTGCTTTAAACAGCTGGTAAATGAAGAGCAAAACTGAGCCATCCAGTTCAATGACACCCTGGTTTAACGTACAATGATTTAGCTGATCTCTGGAGGTTCAGCATTGTCTGCTGATGCATTACTGAGTTGTACTTGATCAGTATCATTAGGCTAAGAAAAGGAAAAAGCACTCTAAACAAACATTGTATTTATGATGTGCTGCCCAGCTGAAAAATGAGAGAGCGTACATCAGATGAGGACAAAACCAGAAATTGTTCTGATGCATTCCATATTCACATAGCCTGTTAGTACTAATTGTCTCTGCTGACACATCAACTACTAGAGTCAAGATGTTGAAATGGCTGATATTCAGGGAGCCATACGTGACACAAGTTACCAGCCTTAAAGAGGAAAAAATAATAAAAATAGGTCTACCTTTTATTTTATCATACTTGCTATGTTATTTAATAGGTAATTTTGCTGTTTCAGTGAATCTAATACAAGGTTAGAGTGATCTATGTGTTAAGGCTGCCAATTTCAGTTCTCCGTTTACACTAAGACCTGCCATGACACAAATTTTGCATTGTGCCACAAGTGTAAAGCTGTTTGTCAAATTTATTCCATGCTATTTGTTGATTACCTGCCATGATCGAGCCCTATGACCTTAAATTGCTCTTCATAATTGTAGGCAGAGAAATCAATGCTTCTAGCACTGATAGTCATTTCAAGAGGAATTAAAATAATGTTTTAGATATATATACAACATGGAATATTGTGAACAATTGTTATCCCCATAATGTAAAAATTATATAGAGGCATTGAAAAATGTTTTTGTTTTCTGGTGTCTCATTTGCTCAAGTTGAATCTCATTGACTAAGCAGGTTATTTCTGCTCCTATGATGCTGCTTGGCCTGCTGTGTTCATCCAGCTCTACACCCTGTTGTCTCGGATTCTCCAGCATCTGCAGTTCCTACTATCTCAGATTATTAACCTAGTTTGGAAATAGCTAGGTATGGCAGGAGTGTCTGGATAATGAGGATGCAGTCCAGTTGATGTTCACTTTAGCAAAACAGTCCATTGTATATTACATAGTTTGAGTATAATCGGGGTACAACATAGGTATCATCATACAATATTTTCTAGATGATAATACTTATTAAGGCTCTTGCCACGTAAGAAACGATTGGTAGAAATGGAGCAGTGAGTGTTGCATTTTTCAATCGTTGGGTTAAATACAAGATGCTCTTCCAGAACCCACTTTTTAAATCTAGATAGAAGTCAGGAATACATTCATTTTGTTTACATGAGCAAATTTTGTCAAGGTTTTCAGCTGAGTCTGATTTTACAAATGCATGGTAGCTTTTATGGAATTTTAATGGTACATAATGAGGAATTGATGAGATTTTATGGAGCTGCACAGTTCAGAATTTCTCCCCAGCAAGTACTTGTGAAAATTTTGCTATGTAAATTGGATTTATGGAAAAGTATCAGCAGTGATATAAATTTTGCCCTTCCAACCGTGGATTGTATCTCTCATATTTTCAGTGGTAGAACACTTCTGCCCACTTTAGCAAGAGCAGGTTGAGTTAATGTATTGAGTGTTGTTGTTTTCTATAAATTATTGGTACTCGGATACTGGATTTAATTAGGTGACAGCACTAAACGTGAGACAACAGTTAGGCTATTAAATAAATCATGCAGTCTATCTAATTGCTGTAAAGTTTCCAGAGTTTTATAACGTTGCTATGATGATTGGCATACCGTAGGATCCTGTAAATGCTGATGCATTTTTTTAAATATGGAAGTTCATGTGAATTTATTTTGTTTTCTCTAGCTTGTCAGTGAAAAAGTTGGCGGTGCAGAAGGAACTAAGCTGGATGAAGACTTCAAAGAAATGGAGCGGGTATGTGCTTTCCATAAAATTCAACACTACATGAGAGGTAGATTATGGTGGGAAAAACAGTAGTGCCCAAAATATATAAGAAAATCCATATTCAGGGTCTGTCTGTCTCTCTCTCAATTTGATTTCATCTGCTTCTTACAGGAGATATAGGGATAGGAGTACCTGCCTTTCATAGCTGACCTTCTGCCTCAGCATCATTTCACTGGTCACTCCCCGTAATCCTCTGGGTGACTAAATGAACATATTAAGTAATGGATTACTTTCTGGGACAGACAATTCCAGTGATTCACAACCCTTTGAATAGATCATTTTCTCCTCTTCCCAGTCCTAAATGACTAACTCCATAACCTGATACTGAGGCTTGTGTCCTAGGTTGTGTAGCCAGTGAAAACAACTTCCATGTTTATCCTGTCAAAACTCTTCTGAATTTGCTATGTTTCAATGGGACCGCTTTGAATTGTACTGAATTTGCCCCATTTGCTTAGCCTCTCAGCCCAGAATCGATCCACTGAATCTTTGTTCTATTTCTTCAAAGCAACGATCCCTCTATGCTACATGCACATAGCAAATGTCTTGCATGCCAAATGGGGCATTGACTTCCAATTCTGGAAATCATTTGTTGTATGTGGGACTCCAAGGCATGCACGATCAGTAAGAAAATTAGAGGCAACACTGCCTCGAACAGAAATATATCATTTGCTAGATATGGAAACTAAAACAGTGCATAGCATTCAAAGTGTGATCTCTTAAAGCCATATGGAAATGTAGCAAAATCTTATTCTTGTTCTCTTGCAATAAAGGCTAATGTACCATTTGCTGTCCTAATTGCTTGCTATACCTACAATGTTGATATGATGAAAGGTATATTGTGTGTTATCATTTTTAGAAATTGGATTTTGAAATAGAAGCAGAGGGATTTGGTTTAGTTCTGTGTAAGTTTTATTAAAATGGTCAGAAAGTCATTCTGGGGCAGTGCCCGAAATCAATTCTTACGAAGAATGTATGTGACTCCAGTTGGGGAGAATCCTTGCAGTGTTAATGAATAAGATGTTTATGCTAGTTAGTTTATGATAGGTGGAGTAAACAAAACCATTAATCTTGTTTTGATTCAAAAAAAAAATTAACCTTTTAAGGTCAGAGAAAATGAGTACGGTGCAGTTCAGGGAAACCAGTCACCTTAGCAGAAGTGTTTTCTAGTCTCTTCTCTTGGAAACTCCACAGACTTTTTGTAGAGCTCTTCAAGTTATTAGAACTGAGAAACTTTAGCCCTCAGAATTGTGTAAAGTTCATGCCTACAGACTTGATATAGAATCATAAAATTGTCTCCCAGTCCTCAGAAAAGAAACTGGAAGGAGTCAATTAAGCAGAAACCTAAAGTTGTGATAGGAAGCTGAATTCTCTGATTTTGACAGTGTTAGAAGCGGGTTGAAACTTTGTTTTGCTATTTGTCTTGAGATATTTCTAATCCGTCTTCTATATCAGTTAATTTGTTTTTCTCTTGTTTTCTTTGTTTTTCAAGAATATCTGCAGCCTAAGTGAGAATGTGTTTCAGTAATTAACCACTATATTAATTAACTTAAAAATACGGTTTATCAAGTCAGGTTTTATTTTAGGATCTGACTTGTTCAGTAGTACCATCAGTTAAGATCAAAACGCTAATTCTGTGATAGGAGATAACAAGGACCGCAAATGCTGTAAGTCAGAGTCGATAAAATGTGGAGCTGGAGGAGCACAGCAGGTGAGACAGCATCGGAGGAGCAGGAAAGTCAAAGTTTTGGGTCAGGACTGTGGAGGGGGAAGAGAGCTCAAAAATAAATAGAGGAAGGGGGTAGGGCTAGAGGAAGGTAGGTGGAATGGTGATGGGTGGATGCAGGTAGGGGGTTGTGTAGATTGGTCAATGGGAAAGATGGGGTGGATAAGTGAGAAGGTAGATGGACAGCTTGTGTCAGGCCAAGGTGATGGGAATGAGAGGGAGGGTTAGACATGGGATGAGGCTGGGGATGGGGCAATTTTGAAGCTGGTGAATTCTATGTTGGGCCATTGGGCTGTAAGCTCACAAGACAGGATATAAGGTATTGTTCTCATTGTGACTGTGGAGGAGGCCCAGAATGGACATGTCAATGGAGGGGGAGGGGGAGTTGAAATGGCTGGCAATCAGAAGGTGGTGTTGATTAGAACGTACAGAGCTCAGATGATTCGCAAATTGGTCACCAAATCTGCGCTTGTCTCTCCGATGTAGAGGAGACCACATCGGGAGCAACGGATGCAATAGACTCAGATTAGAAGACTTACAGGTGAATGTTGGATTTGGAATGATTGTTTGGGATCTTGGATGGAGTTTAGAGGAGATGTGTGGGGGCAGGTATAGTACTTCCTGTGGGCGCTGGGTGTGATGGAAGGGTTGGTAGGGAGTGTGAAGCGGACGAGGGAGTCGTGGTTCAGGTTAGAAGACGTACAGATGAATCCCTGTTGGATTTGAAATGATTGTGTGGGGCTAACTTTGTGTTCCTTGCACAAGTTCATCCAAGGCCCTCTGACATCAAGATTTAAAAGTTTTCAATCTTTTAAAAAATTTTTTGCTCTTCTATTCACCACATCTTATTCTTTCTCACATTATACTCTCTCTTTGCCCCTTTCTTGCCCACTCACTTAACCTGCCTATTTCACTTTGCAGCCTTTGTGTTTTCCTTACTGATTAGAGATTCCCAACTAGCTTTGTGTCTTCAGCAAACTTGCATACACTACTCATGGTTTCTTTGTCAAAGTCTTCAATGTAGCTTGTAAATAACTAACAATACCTCAATGAAAAGCGTATGAGTGAGATATCGTAGGCATTGTAGAAACTGATGAAAATGCTCTCACACTGTTTTCTGCACCTGTTTTCATTTGTCATTTGGTTTATTTTGCTGTAATGCAATGTAGCCTTTTGTTGCTTTGATAATGTTAACTGTTCTAACTTTAACACTCTGGTTTACAATTTTGAGGGGGATCTTGTTAAATTGTTAGGGAACAGATAAGAAATTGCATACGCTTTTCTTACTCCACTGAGGCTGACTTGGCTCTCCCCTTGATCTGAAGTTAGTCATAAATTATTTGAACTTATCCGGCATGCTGCATTTACCACAAAACTTGTATAGATTAAATCTCAGATTAGGTTTGATGATTGATAGTATTGTAATCCACATCTGTTTTACAAAAGTAATAGAATGCTCCAATTGAGCACCCAAACACAACGGGGGAAATTCAACCTCATATTCTTTTGCATTTCACTTCCAAACTGCTGAAGCCAGTTATACCATTTGTGTGGTTATTACATATAATTTAACAAATTTGAACAGGCTAAGCTTAATTTGAAAAATAAAACTTAAGAACTGTGGATACTCGAAATCAGAAATTGCTGGAAAAGCTCAGCAGTTCAGCATCTGTGGACAGCAAGCAACGTTCATGCTTTGGGTCCAGTGACCCTCCTTCAGAACTGATTGTAGCTAGAAAAATGTGAGTATATATACTGAGGATGGGATGAAGGGAGGGGGATGGAGCACAAACAGAGGGAAAAACAATTGGACAGACAAAGGAATGGAGAAAGACCAGCCTGGGAGAATGAATAGCTGCTAATGGGGACTCTGAGCTGCTCACAATGTAGCCCCCTTTACATTGGGGAGACGAAGCACAGACTGGGCTTTGCAGAACACCTATGTTCTATCTGCAAAAATGACTCCAAGCTTCCAAGTGCCTGCCATTTCAATGCACCACCGTGTTCCCTAGCCAATATCACCATCTCAGGCTTGCTACAGTGCTCCAGCAAAGCTGAGTGCAAGCTGGAAGAACAACATCTAATTTTCTGCTTAGGAACCCTGCAACCATCTGGTCTCAATATTGAATTGAATAATTTTAAGGCCTGACCACCTTTGTCCCAAGTCCTTACCCCAACACCCACACACTAGGTTTTGTCATCACATGCGTTGCCGCCATAAACAACCCATTATCAGCCACTAATGGCTCCCATTAGTAGCTTCCCCCTACCTCCATCCCATTTTCCATACCTATACCAAACTCTTCCTAGCTACAACCAGTTCTTAAGAAGGGTCATTAGACCTGAAACATTAAAACCTGCCTTTTCTCCACAGATGTTGCCAGATATGCTGAGTTTTTCCAGCAACTTCTGATATTATTTTTAAGTTTAATTTATGATTTTCTTGGTCTATATTACTTGTACTTGAAGATTAGCACTGAGGTGAGTCACTTGGTAACCGCTGGGTGGGTTGCCCTTTCTGGTGAGGACTGAAGAGATGATGAATCTAGTGCGGGCATGTTAATAGAGGAAGATGCAGAAGTGACCAGAGTCAAATGAAGGAAAAGTTTGGAGGAGGTGGATTGTTAATTAAATCTAAAGAAATTGGATTGGTAACCTCATTTAAGACAGTGAGGACAGAAACAATAGATTAGGAAGAATTGATGCATTTTGGTAACAGTCTTTTGTAGCAGCTCTAGTCTATCAACAATCTTGGATCCAATGCTGTGATGAAGCAGGGTTAATTAGTCACGTCCATTGGGAAATAGGGATCACGGTGTCGTTGAATTTTATGATAAATTTGAAAGTGGCATGCTCCAGTTACAGTCAAAAATCTGGAATTGAAGAATGTCACTTCTGAATGTATGATGAGAATTGCTGGTGATGCAAAGCTAGATTGGAGTGTATGCTGTAAGAAAGACAAGGCTACAAAGAGCCATAGGTGAAGTGAGTGGACAACAAGGTGGCAGATGGAGTATAATGTGAAGCAGTGAAATTATTTCACCTTGATTGTAAAAATAGCAAAACCAATTTTTAAAGGATGTGAAACTTGTGAAAATTAATATTCAAAGAGACTTTGGTGTACTCATACAAGGAATGCAGAAAGTTAGCATGTAGGTACAGCATACAATCAGGAAGGTAAATGGCATGTTGGCCTTTATTGCAAAGGGATTGGAGCATAGGAATAAATAAATCCTATTACAATTGTACATGAATTTGGTGAAACTGCATTTGGAATGCAATGTAAAGTTTTTTTTGTCTCTATATTTAAGGAAATTCCATGCATTGATGGAGCTTCGGGAAAATGTGGCATGATAGTCTCATTTAACCTTAATAATGGGAAAAGAGGATGAATCAGATGTTGATTGGAACTAAAACAGAAGTTGCTGGAAAAGCTAGGCAGGTCTGGCAGCATCCGTGAAGGAAAAAAAGAGTTAATATTTTGGGTCCAGTGACACTTCCTCAGATGTTGATTGGAACTGGAAGAAATTACATTCATTGATGTTTGTATATCAGTCAAGTATTATGACAACATAGAATCAGCGGAGTAATTGGAAGAGTTGATGGAGAGTTGAGGCTGACACTGTGGAAGCAAATTTCATTTTTGTAGATGATGTCATCAAAGGGTAGCACGCGGAAGGGAAAGACGAAAAAGCAAAGAACAGGCCCTTGAGAGAGCCCTTAGATGACAACCCACATTATGGCTGTAAATGCTTTGCTAATGCTTGGTTAGATAGGAGTCAACCAAGTGAGGACCATGGCACTTAAAAGGATAACATACAAAAAGTGCTAGAGTAAGGTCGTGAGCTCAACCCATTAAAGACTGAATTGAGAATACCTGTACTTTGAAATTATACAAGTTTCTCTATTTTTGCTAAAAAAAAGCTGAAGGTTTTGAAAGTCATAGTTTGGATCACCTCATTGTTTCCTAACTTATTTGCTAAACGCCATTTTCAGCCATTGTAGCGTTTGACATTGTGACATCTCGTCCTATGTCAAACTACTCCAAAAGGGTCCAACTCTGCTTAGAAGTTAATAATTTATTACTTCTGAGATGACCTTAGTCCCGAAATAGTTCACTTTATATCAGTACTAAAAAGGTACAATATCAGATCCTAATCTTTACTCCATAACTGGATTGCCATAATTTGAATGTGGGCTGGATTGTCTGGCCTTGCTTACATGTTCCAGAAACCTTTGCCTCAAACTTGATGGCTAACCTTTCAAAATGTTTCTACATTCCTCACCTTTCTGACAGGGCATCAATTTATGTGGCTTTTTAAGTTTCATCAACAAAGCAACTATTGGAACTCGAGCCATGACTTTGTTTCAGTCAATTTTGAGTTTGCTACTGGCAATTTAACAAAGGCTAGCAGCTTCTCTTAAAGGCCATGATAATTGGATCAACACTGTACTTACAGTAGGTAGTTTTTGATAAAATCTGAACGGAAAATTTGTTTTGCAAAGAATATAGCGTTAGATAATTGGGTTCAACAGGTAGAAAAGGTTGAAAAAAGAAATACAGTTCTTGCCATCTACTGGATGTTAAAAAGTAAAACACCTAATCTCTTGAGTATGTGTTTACGCAAGTGCAGCCAGCTTCATTATGCATAATTAAAATAATGACATATTTGGCACATAAATTCATCCTAGACCCAGCTTGTTAAAATAAAAGTTGCTCTGAACATTTGCAGCAGTTACTTCAAATATTTCTTAATACAAATTAGTCAATAGCATAATGTGCAACAGTTGCCAAGTAAAAATATGTTAATACAATTAGATAATTTACAGTCCTCAGCCTCACATTCACTTACTAGCAACCATTGCAAGTGACCCTAAACTCCAATTTCACAAACTTACCTTCTGTTTCCTGCGCCATCACATTAGAAGGATCATAATTTTCCTGAGATATTTTTATATTATAGTTGTAGCATTCCTGCAATTTGGCCAACTGGGCCACTTCTTTGTGTCTGAGTCTAAATGTTGTGTTGGTGGGAAATTGAGCTATAATGACCCTTACCAATATCATTCCCCTCATGGGCTATGATCTTGGATTCAACCTACCTGCAATCTGGGACTCCTTTTTGATATAGAGCTCTTCACCCTAGATCTTTTCTATCCCAGAAAAGAATCCTATTTCACTTCTTCAATCGTTATTTCCCTTCCTTAGCTCTGTCTGTTGCTGAATGGTTCATCCACCTTTTGTTACTTCCAGATCAACTTTTCCAGTCCTCTCTCAGTGCAGGATATGTTAGGGTTAAGATTAGGTTTCACCTTATCCAAAATGCTTCTGCTATATCTTATACAATTTACTCAACATTCCTGACCTTGTTGACCAATTTTAATAATCCTTCTGTAATTTGCTTTCAGAAAGTGGATATTACCAGCAAAGCTGTGGCTGATGTCCTGACAAAAACCACAGAGTACCTTCAACCAAATCCAGGTAAAGATTATCTGAAATGTGAAGCATGTGAAATATATCTTCAGTTAATTAGGCACTTATTGTGTTCCTATTTTGCAGTGTTTTCTATTTCTGCTTTTCAAAATAAAATTTATGAAGAAAATTGCTTTGTACCAGAGGTAACACCAACACAGGAGGGAAGTTGAGTCCCTCCTGTGCGGAGTCTTTCTCTGCTTCAGAATATTATGATTTGGTACTAAGCAGAGGTTTAGTACTTTTCTTAGAATGGGAATGAGTACTATGAGAGGGCTGGGTATTTCAATCATATTTAAATGCGTATTTGCAGAAACCCCACTGTTCCACTTCAGTCGTATATTCTGCATGTTTACATATTCTTCAATGTCTCAGTCCTGTCATTAAGTTGAACTCCAGAGTCCTACAGACGTCTACTACTCTAATATGCCTTAACTTCTGCTGTCAAAGTTATGGACTCCTTGTCTTCCTCAGTCTTGTCCTGATGGTGTTAACATTTTAGTTTTATCTCACCTGAGCATTACATTTTGATTACCTTTGTACTCGTTATTTCCCTTCCTTAGCTCTGTCTGTTGCTGAATGTTTCATTTTTGCACCATCAGAATTCTGCGCAGCTTCTAAAACAATCAGATTGCTTGGCTGGGAGAATCAAAGCAATTGAACTAATTCCCTGCTATGGATTACTGTTTCCAAACTAGCAACTCCATCTCTCTTCCTGGCAATTATGTGTCTGAGCCACATTGTGCAAACTTGGTGTCATGTTTGACTTCAAATGTTGTGCTATCACGAAGCTTGCCATCTTGATATCTGATATGAGTCCCACCAGAGCTCATCTGCTGAAGCAGTCAACTATACCTTTGGTCTCCTCTAGACTTGTGAATTCAAATATGCTACTCACCACCCTCCTGCAATCTATATCCCTGTAAATTTGAACCATAAAATATCTGCTGATGTCTTTATTTGCACAAGTTCCATTCATTCATCATCCCTGCACTCACTGTCATATGCTGGTTCCCATTGTTAGAAAAAAAATGCATTTATATTGTGTCCTTCATATCAATTGGACATCTCAAAGTGCTTTACAGAAAATGAAGTATTTTTCAATTGTATTTGTAATTTAGATAAAGTCTTGATTTTAAATTTCTTATTCTTGTTTTCGCATCTCTCCTTGTTCCCATGACTATAGTGTCCCCCAGTCCCAAAACTCACCAAAACATCTGTGGACTTCTAATTTTGGTTTCTTCAGCATCCATTATTTTAATTACTTTTCCATCGATAGCTATGCCTTTTTACTGCCAAGGCCCTTAACCTCTAGAATTCTTTCTCTAAATCTCTTGCCTCTCTACCTCCATACTCTCATTTCAGACCTGCCTTAATATCTACTTCTTTACCTATCTACCCCATGCTCCCATTTTGACTGTTGTTTCTTCTGAGACACACATTCGGATCAAAGCCAAAGTGAGTAATCATAGGCCTTGGTGTTCTACTGTTTCTGGACCCTTTATATCTCTTCTGTTGTCCAGCTTCTTACACTTGACAGCTTCTGTCAAGTGCCTTTACAATATGCTTTGGTTCAAAGTAACTGACAGACACTTCTACACATCATCCCATACACACTTTCCACAACCTAGTGAAGTTGCAACTAATGCATAACCATCACACATAACACAATGCTATTCTGAAGAAGGCACACTGGCCTTAAACCATCAATTATTTTTCTCTATCCACAGATGCTGCCAGAATTGTTGAGTTTCTTCAGCACTTTCTTTTTAGCACACAAACCTAGAACATTCTTAACAGGCTGTACTACTTACTCAGTTCTCAGCTGCTGATTTTAATTTAACAATCAACTGTTTTAATTACAAAGGTACCCGTTACATTTTTCTCTAAATAGCTCCTGATTTTATTCAGCCTTGAACTAGAGATGCCGCATTTATTTTTGAGCAATTTATTGTCTCAATTTCCTTCTCCACACTCTCGCCTTGCACCTGCCAAACACCTTGTTCAGCCCCCACACACATACACACATTGTCCATGCCCCATTGCTTACACTTGCTCACACCCCCATACCCCTCTACTTCCCTTACCCTTTCCCCTTATCCCTTCACTGTTGCTTGTTTACACTCCCACCTCTTCTCAAACCCCCCCTCCCCCACCCTTTACCACACACTCTCCACCCTTTGCCCCCTCAACCAATCTTACCACCTGAGCCGCCCTCTACCCCCTTCTCCTATACACCCTTTTACCCCTCCCACTGTCCTCTTCCCCTACCCGTACCTTTCCCATCCCCTTCTCCACCTCCCACCATTGCTCCCTCACCCCCTTAATGTAAAGATGCCAGCACTTTGATGGCTAAAACAAATAATTTATGTTTGCGCAGCTTGTAGATTTAAGACTATAAAATATGAACAAAGCCACTGCATATGTACAGCCCCCCCATCTTGTACAAATACTGCTCCCAGGTAATGCACTCTGTGTTCTTTGTCACATAGTAAATGATTGAACTGTGGAGTAGCTGGTTTCCTCAATTTAAAAAATAACCAGATTGAGAACATTTCAAATAAAATATTGGTATTATTCAGCTTAGTTATTATAAAGTATTCTTCTTGTGCTCTGAAAGTCTGCCTTTTTTTTTGTGCATTTTATTGAATATTGTTAGCAAAAGAGAAGCAGGTCCATATCCTCAAAAGGGATAAGAAATTTCCTTTACAGATTTTTAAAAAGCGTTTCCTGATGAATCATCTGTAAAATTTTCAGTCTATTCTTCAAGCTTAAAATTTTACAGATTACAAAAATCTTGAAAATTAGAAAGCTTTTCAGACGTGACAAAGTTATTAATTAAGTTGTGTTCTGAAAAAAAAAAACCACAATTGGACTGCATTATGTCTCTAGGGGCTGTAAAATTCTTGGCTGACAATGTATTGGTTTCCTGGTTTCTTAATCGTGTCTGTTAGCCATTCTCTCTCCACATGGTTTCTCTCTTCTCTCCTCCCACCTTGTCAAATAAAGAAATCATGTATACTGGAAGAAACTGAATTTTTCTCCCAGCATTTCATCAGTAATTTTGTTGACCCCACTTAGAAACAAAGGTCAAAAAGTAGTATTAATACACTTGTCAAGCTGTATGTATTTACTGCATGACCTGTTTACATTACAGGAAAGAACTTCTGATGATTCAAATCCTTTGCTGTTATGACAGATGTGCCTTATAGGTTTCTCTCAGTCTCCACCAAAGATGCTGACTCCTAAATATTGTGGTTTCCCCAGGGGTCAGCATCCTCTCTGTGCCTCCTAAAAGTGGCTTAAACATTATTTAATGATCGACAGTATAACCAGGGAATGCAAAGAACCAGCTAAGTTCAATCCTGTTCTCACCTCATACTACCAAAGACTTAATTCCTTACAGTAATTAATGGATAACAATCAAAAGCAGGAAACTTGGACTTAGCTTAACTCAGCACAAACTAGACACAACCCTGGGATTTTCTTTGGATGATAGTGTTACACTAGGTAGTGCCTTTACTCAGTAGTTCATTAGAGGAAGTGGTGAATTTAGTTTACAACAAGATAAACACACAATTCCTGAAGGAATGCATTTATTTGTTGGGTGATGCTGATAGCCATTTCTGGTTTCCTGTGTACCATGAAAAGATAACATTGTAAAATGTGGTGCTCCTTGCTGATTTTTGAATGGCCTTGGTGACTTCCTTCACATTTATGTTATACCAAGTGCTTTGCAAGAAAACCCTTATATCAACATTTCTTCCTTTCAACACTTCGATCTAAATTTCAAAACCTGCACACACATCATTTGATTTAATGCTCTTAACAATGCAGGCCCTTAGCTTAAAATCTATGACACAATCTTTGGATTTTGTCGCTATGAAATGTAATTAGTGACTCACATTGGGATGGTTACTTTAGTTGGCTGGACAGCTGGTTTGTGATGCATAGTGAAGCCAACTCCAGTACCAACCGAGGTCACCGTGAATGTCCCACCTTCTCCACCTTGCCCTGTGCCTGAGGCATGGTTAAGCTAGCACGAGTAGTTTCTCTCTAATGAATCCTCTGATACAATGGCAATTTAATTCTTACCTTTTACATCGGGATGTAATGTTAACATTGCTGTGCCTTGGTTTGGTCTTGTTTTACTTGCTTATTATTTCATGTTGATTTCAGATGGCTGCTAGAAATTCATTCACAGCTCATCTTGATATGTATTTTATTTCTTTACTATACCCATGACAGCTGTCTTTAGTTTTTGTAGCATAAAACCTTTAGTCATTTAATCTATCCTGCCCTCCACCCTAGCACAAGCTTTCTCTTTGAAAACCTCACGCATCCCTATCTATCTTCAGTTGTGATGAAAATTAACTGATCTGAATATTAATGCTATTTCTTGCCATTCTGCCTGACTGAGTATTTATTTCGAGAATTTCCTTTTTTTTTTAATTCAGTTTTGTAGCAACCAGAGTAGTTTATGCCTGCAGTGCTGGAGAACTCACCTTATGATGAGATCTTGTTAGTGGCTGAATTTATCAAATTTCATTGACGTTGAGAAGCCAGATGGATTAGATTGGTGTTTTGCAAACTGGTGTGAGATTAGCTTTTTGACACCTTATTTCCTCAAAGTGCGCCCACCACTACCAGAGAAAGGCTTGTAACCAGTAGTAGCTCATGTTTAACAACTTGAACTTCTTTTTTGTAAGATCTGTGTCAAGTAGTCAGCAGCACCAGAAGGAGAAAAGCAGCTTCAGTATTCATTGCCAAACTTACATGGAACTCTTAATTCATGATTGCAAGTTGTATCTACTGAGTGTCAAAACTTGTATTCCACCAGAATAGGCAGCTCAAACTCCTCTCTCCTGATGTATTCAATTTTGATATATGCTAGATTTTTCAGCTCAGGTGAGTTTACAATTAAAGCTCAGACTTTAAATTGAAAATATAAGGGATAACATTCAATTTCATGAATATGAAACATTGTACTGTACTGTCCTTTAGATTTCGGTTTGATGTTTCTTACATTATTGTGTGAGCACTAAATGATTGTCAGTTATTCATTTCACTGAAAATTATCATGGTTGAAATCCTATAAGACCTTTTAATTGCTGAAAATCATTATTTGCACCTTTATTCAGCATCCAGAGCTAAACTAACAATGCTGAACACAGTTTCGAAGATTCGTGGTCAGGTAAAAAATCCAGGCTACCCTCAGCCGGAAGGGCTTCTTGGAGAATCCATGATAAAATTTGGGAAAGATCTGGGTGAAGAATCAAATTTTGGTGAGTGAATTATTTTGATGATTATTGATTTTGGAACTATGTTTAAAGGCCAAATGTCAGTCGGTGCTAGAGGTTTCAGGATCAAAACTGTCAGGATTATATTTTGTTGGCTACGTTATTTTATGGACCTGTTACTTGTGCAGGTAAGCTCATTGTAAAATATTGTGCAAATATATCACAGTGCAGCGTGGATCAGCACAGATTTGCATTGTATGTCACAAAAATCGTTCTTTGTTTCAGCTGGGGGAAAGGGCACTTGAATCAGTGGAGATGTGAAACTATCCTACAGAACTGGAGGGATAATGGGAAGGGTTGGGGCTGCTCAGAGTCACCATGTTTGATAACAAGTTTGCTCTTTACCTTCCTCCAAAGGGATATGAACCTTTGAAGAAAGAGAGAAAAGGAGAAAATAACAACAAATATGCTGACAGCTCATAGAAGAATTAGTATGACAATCCAAATCATTTGGGTGGTGGGGTGGGTGTTACTTTATTGTGCCTTAGAATTGTTTACCAACACTTGCTTCCAGCAATTTCCTGTGCTCATTCTTAACTGACTTTGGTGCTTCTGGTATGGGTGTGCTGGCAAGGCTAAATGCTTTCGCAAAAAAACATAAACTGAGTAACTCTGATGTTTCTCCAAGAAACCAGTTTCAGAACTATGACGTATGAAGCCTTGTGGCACTTTGTCGATTATCCTGTTGAATACATTTGTGGGGAGACTCCATAAAAGGGCAAGAAGAGAAAAGTGCATTAAAAATAACTTGCATAATATGAGTTAACTTGAGTCTAAATTAATACTTTCTTAATACTGGATATTTAGCACACAAAGGAACAGGAACTTTGTCGGGAAGTTTCCAGAAGGAATAATATTTTCTGGAGTGCCTATTGTTAAGTAATTTAACGGTACAATTTTCTCTTAAATGAATGCTTGTCTTGAAAGTTAACATCTACTTTGAGTTGAGATGTTCCCCTTACTGGTACCTCTGTACATTCCAGATCTCTCTCTGTCTCAAATTAGAGAACGTGCAGAGCTGTTAGTAACTGTAATTTTATACATTGTTCTGGTGGTTCAATTACTGAAACAGAAATATACAGACAGAAATTTCTCAAGCCAGATTCCTGGGTTGTGCCAAGGTGATTAACTTCAGCTGGTAGCAACTGGAGTTGTAAATATAAATATAAAGTAAATTTAAAGCACCACCCCACAGGAGACAGAAAAATTCTGCTAGACCTCTCATTCCTCCTTGTTAGCCGTTGACTCTGATGGAGGTGTGTTTGTGTGAAAGTCAAACGAGGGCGGGATTGAGTCGAACTGTGAAGCCTTTCACTTATCATTCTTATCATTCAAGGTCTTTCTTGAAGAAGACATATTGTGGACAAATTAAATGTTAAGCAGTTTCCCAGCAGGAGAGGAGAAGAAGTATTTTGATCCAAGAATTGTATTGGTTTTGTTATCCACTGATTCTTGAATTTGAATTTTCTGATTTAAGGAGGTGCTCTTATTGATGTTGGTGAATCGATGAAAAGGATGGCTGAGGTTAAAGATTCCCTGGATATTGAAGTCAAACAGAACTTTATTGATCCCTTACAAGGTCTTTGTGATAAAGATTTTAAAGAAATTCAGGTAAAAGATCATCTATATGTAAACACATTGGCATTCTGCTATTTTTTTGGTTCCCACCCCCTCCCACTCCAGAAGAAACATGACTGAAACCTAATTTAAAATAATTGGACTTGAATGGTTGAGGAGTACAATTGAATCTTCTTTTCACTTTTGACCTTTTACTCCCATTTAAGATAACCTGCGGAAGGCTGTTATGGGGGTCTAGACCCGAAACGCCAGCTTTCCTGCTCCTCTGATGCTGCTTGGCCTGCTGTGTTCATCCAGCTCTACACCTTGTTACCTCGAAGACTGTTATGGTGTTAGGTTAGGTGGCATTAATTCAGTTTTCCTTAGGCATATTTTGTCACCTGTGAGGTACAAATGAGACAAATCAAGATGTGCAAAGAGAAAGGAGCCAAATATGAGCAGAGAGTATAGCCTAGAATTGTTGAACTCAGTGTTAAGTTCAGACATCTGTAGAATGCCTAATTGAAAGATGAGATGCTGTTCCCAGAGCTTAAATTGGCTTCACTGAAACGCTGTAGAAAACCAAGCATAGAAAGGTTAGCATGAGAGCAAGATGGACAATTAAAATGACAGCTCAACAATTAAAGGTTATCCTATTGATTGCTAAGATCTTGAAATGACCTGGTAGAGTGGATCCGCAAGGATGTGTCATCTGGTGGAGGAGACTAGAAGCAGGGGGCACAGTTTAGAATAAGAGTTCTCCCATTTAAGACATGGGTGAGGAGAAATTTCTCCTGAATGTTATTAGTCAGTACAATTCACTTTCTTAAAAAGCAGTGGAGGCTAGATCATTGAATTTATTTAAGGCTGTATTAGATGAGGGATCCAAGAGTAATAAGGGTACAGGCAGGAAAATGAAGTTGAGAATGCAACCAAATCAGCTCTGATCTTATTAAATGGCAGACTGGGCTCAAAGGACCAAATGGCCTACTCCTGTTCCTAATTCCAATGTTTCTATGACTGAACAAATGTATTCCATAACTATGTATGTGCTGTCCCCAGTGTTGAGCAGCTCACATTGTGAGCAGTGAATATAGTATACAGAATTGAAATAAGTATAGGGAAATCGCTGTTTAACCTGGAAGGAGTGTTTGGGACCTCAGACAGTGTTGGTGGAGGAGGTAAAAGTGCAAATGTTACATCACTAGTGCTTTTGTGGAAAGCTGCCTCGCGAAGGGGAGGAAGTTGAGGTGATTGGGGCGTTGGGAAGGGAATCCCATCAGTTGCAGGTCCTATCAGAACGCTAAAAGGGAGAGGAAGTGTCCAGTGGTGACGTCACGCATGTGACTGAAATGCTAGAAAGTGATCGATTGAATCCAGAGGCTTGAGGTTGAAGGTTTGGAGAAGAGAAGCCCTGTCATGGTTTGGGTGAAAGACAAAAGTCATCCTGTCAACCATGTTGGGAGGAATGCTTTGTTGACAACAAAGGAGGTTCTATCAAGTGTTGGTTAGAAGGTCGTATCTTCAGAATAGATAATGGAGAAACTTGAAGAATGGAAAAGAATTCTTACAGGAGGCAGGGTGTGAGGAAGTGTTGGCTTATAATAAATATTCATGTTTGGAATTACCTCCAATGTTTTGATTATCCATACGAAGCACACCTTATTCAGTTTGTTAATTACAAGTCTCCACTTGGATTAAAAACCTCTTGGAGCAAAATAATTCACAATATCTTCACCCTTGGATATAGCTTTTTGCAGTTTTAATATTTACATGACTCAAACACTCGTAGGTAATTACCAGACAGTTTAATTCAATAAAGGAAGTAAACTAATGCCTCATGCAATTTCTTCATTGACGCAGTAAGCAATTATATTTCAATACAAAAGATTTTGTGTAATCCATTGGAAGCTAAATGTAAAACTACCAAAGCTATTCTATCTCTTACCAGTGAATTGGAAGCCCTGTGTTTAGCCAAGTTCCTGTTAATTTACATTCATTCATCTATGTGAGAACTATGCTGAGAAAGAATCTTATTCAATACAAAGCGAAAGTTTTGAATTTGTTCTGTTGAAGTGAAATCATGGCACATTTACAAGCATATATAAGGTAGCGGGAAAATCGTTCGTGCTTGTAGTTTCAGACTAAAAGTGCAAAGATTGTTGTGCAATAGTACAGTGTTTCTACAGTGTATATCTCAAAATAAAAGCTCAAGGTTAGAGAAGTGAAGAAGTGTAATGAATGGGCGGTAAGATGGCTCAGTGGTTAGCATTGCTGCCGCACAGCGCCAGGGACCCAGGTTCAATTTCATCCTCGAGCGACTGTCTGTATGGAGTTTGCACATTCTCTCTCTGACTGCGTGGGTTTCTGCTGGGCGCACCGGTTTCCTCCCACCATTCAAAGATGTGCAGGCCAAGGTGGATTGGCCATGCTAAATTGCCCATAGTGTCCAGAGGTGTGTACATTAGGTGAAATACAAGGTTACAGGGCAAGGGTAGGGGTATGGGTTTGGATGGGATGCACTTCAGCGGGGCGGTGTGGACTTGTTCGGCCGAATGGCCTGTTTCCACACTGTAGGGATTTGATGAATCTATGAAATCTGCAGAGATTTTTCCCCAACGGGCTGCCTGTTCTAAAAGGATATTAGTATTTGGTGTTGTGCGAAATAATCCAAACTGAATTCGTACAAATGCACAATAAAATTAACAAATCACCTGGAAATCTGAGCAGGTTTTAGATATGTAAATATCAACCATTCCTTCAAATAAAACGTGAACTCTGGTGTAATTCTTTTTGAACTTGATCAATGAAATGTGAAAAAATGGGAAAGCAAATTTGTTGGTCTAATTGTAAAAGTTAATTTATATAACTAAACTAGTTATTTAATCTACAGGAAACGTCTGTTTGTATCAGTGAGATAAGAAGCTTAAAATATGTGTTTAAGATGTGACTCTTCAGATGAAACAGCATTCAAAGTTAATCAGCAAAACAGTCAAGACTGTTACATTTGTCATGAAAACAGTTTAGTGAAACCATGATAAGAACTAAGTGACAAACCCAAGTTCTTAATAATGAGAACTGCTTGTAGACCAGTTTCTCTAAAGCCTACTGTCCAAGATAAAAAATAAAGCTTGTTGCACTTGATGTTTAGAACATGTTTTGTCTAAGGTAGGTTGATTTACTAACTCTAGTATGGGATAAAGTAGCCCTTTTGTTTGGGGAATTAACACTAAATGAAGAGATACGAGGAGATTCATGGAGTATGCTGTTTCCCACCATTTGCTGTCTTCAGATGTTACATATAAATCACCTAACATAATCCCAACAGCTCAGGATCAGCAGAAATAGTCTCTGAAAAAAACTGAAGAGAACACTATCATGCCCCAGCCTTGCGAAAAAAAAAACAAGTTTGATTTGGGAAGCTATCTGTCTACGTCTTTCTCCCAAACAGCCAGGCTTTTTTTCAGACATGACATCTCACCAAAGGCCAGGAAACATCCCTCCTGAATGTTAATGATTGTATGGCTGGAAATTTACAAGGGTCAGCAGTGCATTCCTAAGGTGAATAGAATGGAGAAGATGATGTTTCAGCTGTTCACTAACAGTTTTCATAACTGAGATGGATTTTGGTTGAAATATTTTTAAGGGAATTTGACCACAACAGGTAATTCTAGTCCAAATAAGATCAGCAAAGATCTAACTGAATGGCATTACAGGGCCAAGGAGCTGGATAACCTGTCCTGTTCCTGTGTTGCTGAAAATTTATGGATGGGAACAGAGCCCCTACTAGTGTCAAATTATTTCTCCTAAGAAAATCACTTAATGATGGAATATGATATCCATTCAGGGCATTGGTATGCTGCAGATTTTGGTAGTTCGTGTCTAATTCACCTGTGTATGATTTCACCATTATTGAGGAAAACATGAGTGAGGGAAAGACGTTTAGTTGCTCCTGTACCACTCGTGGAGCAAAATTATCAAGACCACTTCTGCATTCATGTTGAAATAGGCAGGAAAAAGGTCCCATCAGAAATCTAGAGGTAGATTTTCTAACTGTCATAATAGATTTTGAATTGAAAGGAAAGGGAAACTAATAGCATTTAATTGCAGAAAAAAACTGAAGAGTAAATACTGGCTTTGAAGGTGATTACATGATCCTTGACTATGGTTCTCTGTTCTCCCGTCCTGAGGGGGAACCTTGATATGTTCACACCATTTCCTAAAGAGACTGGTTTGGAGTCCTAGTTGGCAGTTACTTTTAACTTGTCCATGTTGACAATATTTTGACCTATCTACCTGATATAACATGAAATTGGTCTGTTCAGTCAGTTGACCATGGAAAAGTAGTGACCTTGATGTTGGAAAAACTTGTTCCCCAATGAACTGTCACACTAAAAAGATAGTGCTGAACAGGATAAATGTGACTGATCAAAAAGTATTTAACTGCTTGAGTAAATTTATATTGCTTCCTATGTAGCTTAGAGTTAATGTGTTGGCATTGCTCCCAGCTATGCAGAACAAAAGACGAAAGATTCAACATAAAAACAGAAAGAACTGCAGATGCTGTAAATCAGGAACAAAAACAAAGTTGCTGGAAAAGCTCAGCAGGTCTGGCAACATCTGTGAAGGAAAAAACAGAGTTAACGTTTCGGGTCCGGTGACCCTTCCTCAGAACTGAATTCTGAAGAAGTTCTGTGCTAATAGAAATGATGTTATTTGGAGTACCACAATTGGTAGCACTCCTCGGAGAGAAAAGAGTGAGCAAAACTTACTCCTGATTGCTACTTCGTGGCCCCATGCTGGAAGGAGTGTATGTGAAACATCTAGTAACAGTTATGTTTCTGTCTCAAAGGTCAGAGGCCCTATAGTCTGCAAGACATGGTATCTGGACTCCTATAAGAATGATTAAGTGAGTAGGGTGCTTGTAGCTGGTGGCACCAATAGAATTATGCAGACTAAAAGTACAGGCAGTTCCCAATTTAGAAACAGGTTCCTGAGTATGTTTATAAGTCAGTTGCACACAAGTCAGAACACAAAACAGTACAATATAAAGTGGCTGTTTGTAAGTACAAGCGAACATTTGCATGTCAGATCCTTAAAATTAGTATTAATGTGGGATTTCATTTGTAAGTTAGATGTTCATAAATTGGGAATTGCCTGTAACTACACAAGAATCTTCAAGAGAAAAGAATCAAAGATTATTGTGTGAGAATATTTTAAAGATAATTGTATATTACATATCCATTTTGATATTGTAGCATCATTTGAAGAAGTTGGAGGGTCGGCGCCTGGACTATGACTACAAGAAGAAGCGACAGGGTAAAATTCCTGAAGAGGAGATCAAACAAGCCATGGAGAAATTTGATGAGTCCAAAGAAGTGGCAGAAACTAGCATGTACAATCTTTTAGAAACTGATGTAAGGATGAACTCTTTTCATAACTAAAATTCTCCAGCCCAGGCAACCTCTGCTGCATCTTCTCCTATAATGTGGATTCCATAACTGCACACACTTCTCTAGCTGTGGCCTAACCAACTTTCATGCGGTTCCCACATAACCTTCCTGCTGTTATATTCTATGCTGGGATAATAAAAACAAATAAACCATATGCCTTCTTAATTACTTTATCTACCTGTCCTATTACCTTAAGGGACTGATGGTTATGCACACCAAGTTCCCTCTGATCTTCGGTGCTTCCCAGGGCTCTACCGCTCATCATGTATTCCCTTGCCTTGTTTGTCCTGTCCAAATGCACCATCTCATTTATCTGAGAAAGTTTACTAGGATAATTTTTGATATGGAAGTGTTATCTCAAGAGCAAAGACTAAACAGGGTGAGACTCTACTCACTGGAGTTTAGAAGAATGAGAGGTGATGTCATTGAAACGTACAGGATTCTCAAGAGGCTTGACAGGGTAAATGCTAACAGGATAGAAATATAGAAGATAGGATCAGGAGGAGGCCATTTGGCCCTTAGAGCCTGCTCCACCATTCATCACTATCATGGCTGATTGTCCAACTCAATAGTCTAATTCTCCCCGTAACCTTTGATCCCGTTCACCCCAAGTGCTATATCTAGCCACCTTTTGAATATATTCAATGTTTCGGCATCAACTAGTACCTGTGGTAATGAATTCCACAGGCTCACCACTGTTTGGGTAAAGAAATGCCTCCTCATCTCCATCCTAAATGGTCAACCCTAAGTCCTCAGATTGTGACCCCTGGTTCTGGACACACCCACCATCGGGAACATCCTCCTGCATCTACCCTGTCTAGTCCTGTTAGAATCTTAAGTCTCTATGAGATCCCCCCCGTCATTTGTCTGAACTCCAGTAAAAAGAATAATAACCTAGTCAGTCTCTCCTCATATGTCAGTCCTGCCATCCCTGGAAGCAGCCTAGTAAGGTTTCGCTGCACTCCCTCGAGAGCAAGAACATCCTTGCTCAGAAAGGGAGACCAAAACTGCACACACTATTCTAGGTGTGGCCTCAGTAAGGCCTGTATAACTGCAACAACACATCCCTGCTCCTGTACTTGAAACCTCTCGCACTGAAGGCCAACATACCATTTGCCTTCTTTACCACCCGCTGTACGTGCATGCTTACCTTCAGTGACTCGTGCACAAGGACACCCAGGTCTCGCTGCACACTCACCTCTCCCAATTTACAGCCATTCACAAAGTAATCTGCCTTCTTGTTTTTGCTTCCAAACTGAATAACCTCACATTTATCCAAATTATACTGCATCTGCCATTGATTTGCCCACTCTCCCAACCTGTCAAGATCATGCTGAAGGATATTTGCATCCTTGTCACAGTTCACCCTTCCATCCAACTTGGTGTCCTCTGCAAACTTTGAGATGTTACGTTTTGTTCTCCCCTCCAAAACATTTAATATACATTGTGAATACTGCGGTCCTAGCACTGATCCCTGTGGCACCCCACTAATTATTGCCTGCCAACTTGAAAAGGACCCAATAATTCCTACTCTTTGTTTCCTCTCTGCCAATCAGTTTTCTATCAATTTCAGTACACTTCCTCCAATCCCATGTGCTTTAATCTTGCACAATAATCTCCTGTGCAGGACTTTGTCAAAAGCTAGCTGAAAGTCCAAATATAGCAGATTGACTGGCTCCCCCTTGTCAACTGTGTACCAGTTACATCTTCATAGAATTCCAACAGATTTGTCAAGCATGATTTCCCTTTCATAAATCCATGCTGATTCTGTCTGATCCTGCCACTGCTTCCTAAATACTCCACTATAAAGTCCTTGATAACGGATTTGAGAATTTACCCCGCTACCAATGTTAGGCTTACTGGTCTATAATTCCCTGTTTTCTCTCTGCTTCCCTTTTCGAATTTTGAAGTGACATTAGCTACCCTCCAAACTGCAGGGACTGTACAAGATTCTGTAGAATCCTGGAAGATGACTAGAAATGCATCCGCTATTTTTAGAGCCACTTCCTTTAGTACCCTGTAGATTATCAGGCCCTGGGGATTTATCCACCTTCAATCCCATCAATTTTCCTAGCACCATTTCTCTACTAATATTGATCTCTTTCAATTCTTCTGTCTTAATAAATCTTGCATGCTGCAACATTTCTGGTATCTGATTTGTGTCCTGTTTTGTGAAGACAGAACCACAGTAAGTATTCCCTCATAGGAAAGTCTAGGACCAGAGTGCATAGTCTCAGAATAAAGGGGCACTAATTTAAGACTGAAATGGGGAGAAATTTCTTGAGGGTTCTGAGACTTTGGAACTCCTTGCTACAGAGAACTGTGAGGCAGGGTCCTTGTATGCATTTAAGGTTGAGATCGATTCTTGATCAGCCAGGGAATCAAGGATTATGGGAAAAGTGCAGGGATGTCAGATGAGCTATGATTGGAGCAGGCTGAAGGGGCCAAATGGCCTACTCTTGTTCCAATTTCTTTTCGTCTTGTGTTCTTTATTGGCCCTGACTTTCACTTATTGCTGTTGTTTCTCAGTTAATCCCTTCCAAAAAAAATTCAGTTTTTAAAATCATGAATCAATCAACACTTCCCTGTGTCACTATCTGATTTGTTTGTCCAATCAGCAGACACCTGAAGCTGTAGCTGTTAAACTGGGACTCGTGTACCTCTGTTCGTTTGAAGCTGAAGTGCTGGGACCCTGATCCTAGGCAGCAATTTATCCTGTTGCTGACTTTTCCTCTCCACACAGCTGAAGCTGAAGTATTTGGCCTTACAAATTACAAACCATAAAAAAGGCCTTAAAAACTATGAACCGAAAAAAAAATGCAGAAAGCACATTTTCCCCCTGCACCAAATTCCCACCATACTCTAAATTTCCAGATTCTCAAACACACTTGGGCTGTGTATCATTCAGGATGTGTTCTCTCCTGACTCTGCTGTAACTTACTGAAGTCCATAATCGGATTCCTGCTTCAGATATTGTTCAGTGCCACTGCAAGAAGTTGGATGTGTATATTTTATTGTTAAAGGAAACAAACTAGGCTCAGCTCCGAAGCCCTTAGTCTAATAACACTTTTTTTTAGCTAATGTAATGATCTCCGCAAAGGTCAGTGGCTTCTGATGGAAAGGCAAAGTATTTCAGGAAAATTATATGTTGAAAAATAATGCTTTAACAGGTTTATTCCTAATAACTGAGTTACTAAATGTGCCATTATACCTTTGCTTTATGTGAAATGGAAATGGTATTGTTTTATAGAACCATTCAATGAAGGTAATAATTGTGTGTAGGCAAGGACAGTAACTAGTTAGTTTAGTGAGTGTGCTAAGAACATTTACTGGCTCTCTTTGAAGATTTGATCAGATATATGATGAATCAACTTTTTTATTGTAACAACATAAAACCTTCTTTTGGCTATGCTGAACAACAATTCCCACAGTTGTATTGAAAAGCTTTCCAGGCTTCTAGCATTTGCCAGGGCATAATAAATGTTTGGCTTTTCCCTGATTTGGAATGATCTAATCCTGCAGATTGCTTCATATAGGGCTTCAGCCAAGTCATTATTTAAAATACAAGATGTGTCACATCCGAAAAACGAAATTGTCCTGTTGATACTGAAAAATTCCTAAGTAATCCCGGAATATCCTGTTACCAAATACTTCTTTCTGCTACTTCCTCCCTTCTCTGATATTCCTACTTCATATTTCATTCGGTGGATGATTCCATACTTTTTTGATGTCTAATAGAAGAGCAAATAAATTCTATTGATATAGAAGTTAACTTCAATTCATGTCAAAACTTATCATTTACATCCCACAGTATTTGACACAGTGCACCACATTTGGACTTCATTGTCTATTGTGTTGTAAAACATAGTGACCATGGTTCAGCAGCAACATCCTAACGGGCTGACTCAATAGTTAATCTGTGATTTTGGTAATATTGGTGGAAAGAGGAATGTTAGTCAGGAGAACAAACTTCTTCAAATAATGTCAGTTTTAATGGACAGACAGGGTCTCATTTTAACCCCTCTCACAAAGGACTGCAATCCTTAACTGCAGCATTTCCTCTATACTCTCTTGAGGGCTATAGTTTGCATTGGGATGAAGTAGAGATGTCCCATACCTTTTATTTCTCATATCTTCAAATGGAACAAACTTACACAGATTCCCAAAAACATTTTATTAGCCTCAGGATGAAAGTGTCCTTTCTGATTTTTGTTTGTTGATTCTGAGCTAATTCTGGGGAGAAATTTCAGAATTGTTGAATGTAAAACTGTTTGGGCATGAATCACTATTATCTCTATGAACAGGTATTGGAACAGGTGGGCCTCTTAGGACAAATGAATAAGTTGCTGAATATAACTGAGTGAAAATAATTTCAATCACTTTAAACTAGCTTAAACCAAACATAGATAATTTTCTTCCAGATCGAGCAGGTGACTCAAATGTCAGCCCTAGTGGAGGCACAACTGGACTATCACAAACAGGCTGTGCAAATTCTGGAAGAGCTCTCTGATAAGCTAAAGGAGAGGTAAGAAAACAACAAATATGAGTAGCCTCATCCAGCTGTCCTATGAGATGGGGGTATTTTGTTGGTATCCCCTAACATAAATGTAAGAATATATTTGGAGGTGTTGGAACAATAAGGTGCAGACAGGTTCTCCCCACCTGCCTGGTTTTGAATTAAGATACCAGCTAACATTGGCCAACTTGTGCTATACACCTTTAAATAACACAATGTAAATGCTGTACATTTGAAATGGTACAAATTGGTATTTGAGTAACATACATCATTACAAGTAACTTCCATCAGAATCAAATGGATAGTAAAACATTAAGACTGGCTAATAATATGTTAAGTAAAGTGGCATGATACTGTTGCAATTTGAGAATATGGAAATTTCTTTTAATGATCTTTTCAGGAATATACCAGTAATTGAGCCCAAAAATGGCAATTATAGAAGAAACATTTAGATTTAAAAGTCACACATTTCATGACCTCAGGATGTGCCAGAGTACATTGCAACCAATTAAGTGCTTCTTGTAAATATAGATACTATTTATAGGATATAACCTCTGCAAAGTGTAGAAATGGTGAAGCGTGTTAGCTATAATTATCATGAGATGCTTTATGTCAGGAGTCATGCATGAGTACAAACAGATGGAATTTGGTGCTGCTAAATGCCTAGATTTATTTACAATGAACATTAAAACAACTTCTGCATCTTAGTGATAGTAGGATTTCTGAATTTCTGAAGAAGGGTCCAGACCCGAAACGTCAGCTTTCCTGCTCCTCTGATGCTGCTTGGCCTGCTGTGTTCATCCAGCTCTACACCTTGTTATCTCAGTATCTTTTCAATGTCATCTTTTGTAAGTCTGTTAAGTACAGCATGGGATTGACACAGGATTCTGCAAGGTCTGAGTCTTTTAAAAAAAAAAAAATGGTAGCCCTAAAATCCTATTAAATACAATGTAAAAATAGCAAGAATGAATACTGAACTTGAAGTTGTTTACTAATTAAACTTCACTTGAGGATTAGTTTGTTTTTTTTTCTTGTATCCAGTCAGAGGGGCGGTTGTCCATTAATTTGAGACAAATATGTTGAATTTTGAGCACGATGTGTTATTCTTTGGCTTTGCAGAGAGTCCATTTCTATCTGGTAAGGCTGCTATAATTCCTGTGAGATTCTCAGAATGCCTGCTGTTGTACAGTTTGGAATCAGTTTCCTTGGAAACGGATCTTTGTCAAAGCCTGATTCATTGCAAACTTTTCATTCTGGTGATAGGATTGTCAGCCAGGAAAGGTTACTTTAAAAACGGAGGATAAAAGGACAGCTGCTCAAAGGAAATTGCTCTAGATCTTTGAACTTTGGGGAAATTTCTGCCTGTATTTTGTGTAACATGAAGCACATCTTGGTGTCTCTCTTGTGTATGTGAAAGGTAACATCCACAGTTCCAAATGGATGCAATTAGAAAAACAATGGCCTTATTTCAGTTTATTTCTTGCCCTCCTTCAGTGTTTGTTTTTCTGGTCTCCCTCTCCCTTCCTTCCTTCCTCTACATTAAATTCTGATTGAAGGAGTGGTTTTGTGAGGAAAAACTTTTTAATATTGATAAATGCAGAGAAAGGAACCCTTTAGATTTGCAGCTTGTAGGAAATGAACAAGCAGAGTGAGGCCCTGTTTTCTGCTGCGTCTGACAAACTCTTGGGATCCAAAAAGGTGAGACTGTAGATATGGTTAGAGTTTTGAGATTTTCCTCCTTTATTTTGAGATCCTACTGATGGCACCAGTGGCACAGGTAAATCGGTAGCATATTCATTCTTTTAAAAATATGGAGGTGACTTGGCTGTTCCTTACAGCTACTTAGTGGCTAAAGTGTATCTTTATTAAAACAGACAGCCAGAAACTCAAAATCTGCTTGTAGATCTATCTCAAGCTAGAAGCTGTCAGCTCAAGCAGACTTTCATGTCCAAAACTGACTGTGGTGTTCCTAACCTGGGAAAGAGACTCCCTGTCCTCCTGCTGAATAAGTAGTGCTCGATCGGCTAAATCTCATGCAAAAAATATAATCAGATGGATTAAGTAAAGTTTAAGAGAATTAAGGGTATCCACTGTCGATTTGGCTAGGTTGCAGAACTTTGGTTAATTCGCCCTAACCATTTCAAAGAACAAAAGCATGGAAATCAATCAATCTTGTAACTTGCAACATGTTTGTAAGAAAAATGGTATAGGAAACCAGAATCCTTTGTTACCCTCAACCGTTCAGTATTCTAAAATAGGGTGGTTTGAACCAAGAAGAGCCTCCTATGTTTTTTCTGTCTTCATATGGAGCCGTTAATCAACAATATCCTCAAATATTCTAGCTGAAATAACATGCCATACAGATTCAACATTGGTCAGCCAAAAAAGCCAAAAGATTAATTCTACCTCTTCCTTGAAGTCTGGGCTGTGATATTAATTGTTTTGGTGAACTTCATGCTATGATTAATCAGAGTGCCTAGACAGATAATTCACCGCTATTGAAATGATGTAAGGACATGAGCCCCAATTTGTGTATTTCTTGTGCCTAATTCTTTTAGCAAGTTTTAATTGAATTATGGAGCCCACAAGCTAACCAGCTATCCCACCTATAAAGAAGGATTTAAAATGTTTTAATGTTTGAGTGGTATATTGCATTGTCAGTCCTTCCTCTGCAATTAGTCTCAAATTTCTTTGAATTTAAAATCCAGAAATTGTACCCTTTCAAATAATTAAGGAGAATTGAGTAACTTGTTTAAACACAGAAGAATTGATTAACTTTGAGAAAGACATATCAATCCTGCCTTAGAAAATTGGGAGATTGAGCAAGCCTGAAAAATAACTCTTAAAATGAAGCAAGCAAAATGGGAAATTTGTTAAAAGAGCACAGGCAATAACATTGGCTTTTCAGAATGAGTTTCAAAGCAATATAATATAAATGCTCTGAATTTCACTTTGAGAGTGGATACAAGTCACTCCACAGAACCAGCCATTTGCCTCAAGCAATCAGTGCATGTTGCCTTTCATCCTCCAGGCAAGCAAACATTCCCAATGACTTTTAGCCATCAATTTCTATATTCTTTTGTGCATTTTCCTATGTCGTATAAAAGTAAAGGTGTTGAGGGATATGGGCCAAAGACAGCTATATGGAATTAGGCCACGATCAGCCATGATCTCATTAAGTGGCGATAGGCTCAAGTGGTTGAATGGCCTGCTTCTGGTTCTGTATTCATCTGTTCTTTCAACCTTCAATCTAATTTTGAATGTTGATGTATAGTTTCTGCTTCAACCAACAGCTTCATATCTTTCTGTTTGAATATATTTCTCCTAATCTTTTAATTTATTGTCTCTTGTTCAAGGCCCCATAATTACTGGAAATAACTTCTGTATGCCCTATCCCCTATATCAAAACTTCAATTATAAAACTTCTTAATCAGCGTTGATCTAACAAAAAGGCCCAATTTTTAAAGATTTTTAAATTAGTATTTTATCTTACCATTCAGAATGCTGGTGAATCTGAGTTTTCCTTTCTCTAAAACTTAGTTTCCTAAGTATGGGACCTGACTCTCTGCCCTGTAGCTTGAATTAGATCTTGTATCAGCTCTTCATAATACCATATGAATTTCTTACTTGGGATATAAATTAAAATTCCATTGCTTCTTTTGTACATCTTTATCAGTTTGAGATTGTCACAAATTAAAAGAAAGAGCTGGAGAAACTGAGCAGGTTTGGCAGCATCCATGGAGAGAGTAAATGTTTCAAATATAAGATGACTCCAATTCTGAAGAAGAGTGATATTAACTGTTTTTTCCTCCACGGATGCTGCCAGATCTTTTGAGTTTTTCCAGAACTTTGTTTTAAATTTAGTTTCCAACATATGCAGTATTTTGCATTTACTTGAAAATTTGTCATTGATACCAAGTGAGCCTATGTACCCAAATACTTTTGGTCTTTCACATCACTGGACCTACTTCCATTCAAACTATAAATATTTTACATTTAACTAAAATGTATCACTTCAAAATTATAATGTGAACTATCTCATCTCATCAAAATCTTTTTGTGGCTTCCTTCAGTATTCTAGAATGTTAACTGTATTTTCTATTTTGATGATATTTGCAGATTTGAACCCTATTACATATAGGTGTCCAGCCAAATTATTCAGATATACATGATGATCTATGATCTGAAAGTAGTACAATAAAGATGTTATTCTAAAATGTCTCTAATCAGAAAAAAAAAATTTTTTTTCAGAGTTTGCGTCAATTGTAATGGGATCAATTGTAATGTATTTTTCTCAAAAGTAATGAAATGCTGTTTTGTTATTACTTGTTCACCCCTGACCTGGAATTAATACCAACAGGAAGACAATTAAGACCAGAAGCTGTTTGACTGGTAGATACATGAGAGAACTACAAGTAGAGGAGGTGGAGCATACAGATATGGGGACAAAGAGACAGAAAGAGGCACAGATTTCTTGTGAGGAAAAAAATTTCATTCAGGAAGAGGTCAATTTATCTGTTTGGCAAAAAGGAGATGGGAGATCTTGGAAGTACTGTGCAGTCTGGCTCAAAATGATTGAAAACCTGGAAAGCTGTGTGAATACTCTGAAATGCTGAAGGGTTGTATTTTTTTCCCAGAAGTGATTAAGCTGTGAAGAGAGTGTTAATGGTTAGTCAGTGAAAATGAACACTGGAAAGCTGCACCATTGGAGCTGCCATGACCCAAAGGAGGGAGGATGTATAAAAGTGTGTTACTGGTGTACATCATACCTCTGAAACCTACAAGTGAAAGCTGTTATTGGATGGGAATCCTGACATTCCATGTGTGAATAAAGAAAAGTGTATTGTGGAATTGTGAAGCTGTATCGTGCAGGGAATGTTGTGAGTGCTTGTGTTTTCCTAAGGCATATCTTTATTGAGATTTTCCTTTTTATTTGATTATATCATTTGTCTATTTTTTAATTTATTTACACATGGGATTTGGGTGTTGCTGGTTGACCAGCATTTATT